AAGGATAAACCGCTGAAGGTTAGCGCTGCTGAATCAGCAGAAAAATTACAGATGCCTACCATTCTAAGAGGGCCAGTAGAGTACCATAAAAGCGGTCATGCCATTTTTAGTTACCTCCTAGTGCATTTATAGTAACAGCAGTTAACTCTGAGAAGCCAATCTGGTCAAAATATTAAGCCGTGAATAAAATTCTTACGCCATCGCAAAAACGGGGACACCCGCTAGGACCAAGCTAGGGGCAAGTACGCCGGGAAAAATGGAAATGCTCGAGCATTCTCCGGTCTCTCTGCTCCCTGTCCCAGGCTTTGTTGACCATTTATCACGTACAACCTTAATCCATTCATAAAAAGAAGTTTGACGCGGTTTCAAATGCAGCCCTATCTTGCGATAGCGCCTAAGTCCCACTTAATCAACTCATTAGCACTGGAAAATATCACAAGCAGTCCACAATATCTCTATAGTAAAGGGGCTTCAAAAACTACACTTCAGAAATCAAAAAGCCCGGGTGCTAATCTTTCTCAAACAGCACTTTCGCCGGGAAGTTTCCCATTCTACGTCAAGGTCAACACACCACTAGATACTTATCACGTAATCTACGCACTGCTCAGGTGCACAAACATCTCTGGCGGCTCTTCTTTCGCGAGAAGGAAAGTCAGGAATCAATAAAAAATACCTGTCTCCCCCCCCCCTACCGAAATCCTACAAGGCTTTCTCCCAACCCATCGGGAGCTGGGAAATTCGACCGTAGTTCACGCCCCAGTGAACTCCTCGATTACCACCCCCGGCGACAGTTGTATAATCAAGCGGAGCGGCGTGTTTTCTTGAGCCGCCTCTAATTAGCCGTTGCTTTATGATGATCTCCGTATGTTGCAGTCCGCATGCGGCGTAGAGCTCCTTTTCGGTTGCGACAGCGGCGGCTTCCATTAAGGCACTGGGACATAAACCCGCTGTATAGCCTTGCGCTGACCTCTCCACAGTGAGTCCATTACGATACCAAGACGTGCAAATTACCTCGTACGGTATGATGATTATCAAATTTCCTCATTCGAATGGGAATGGACCTCATCGTGACCTTTACTTGTACTACCCGAGCATCGCCATTGCCGCCAAAGTGCCGACTATACGCATTAGGGCGGTGAAACTACAATACCTATTACCCACCACGACAACACCATTACCACGAGGCCACGCAAACTGGTAATTTCCTCTTGGGAAATACGATGCCACGGTGCAGAAAAGTAGTGACGACACTATCTCAACGCATCCCAACCTCAACCTCAAACTCACCAATGCACTTATCCTCTCCAGTGAAAGAATCGCTCGTGAATCCAGGCTTACAGCCACATTCACCAATCAGATGATTCCATCTACCGGTGGACGTACAGAATCCAGTTGGAGCTTCTGAAAAAAGATATTGAACGTCCGTATAGATAGGGTGCAGATAAACCTTAGGGTTAGAACTTAGGGTTAGGGTAAGCGAGACTTAGATAAACTTACCACTCTGAGCTGGAGTTGCGTTCGCCACACATTTGCCAGTAACTTTTACCATGTCATCGCGGGAGCTTGACGTGACCGTTACTGGATATTTTGTGAACTTGGTCACTGTCGCATCACAAACAACATAGTACACCTGAAATATATTCATATGATTTGCAGCAACCATGAAAGAGAGTTCCTAGACAACCTGGAAGCAAACCCGGCGCCAAAGGTATTCCCCAACCCTAATTCCAACTCTGCAGCTTCACACTGCTTCCTGTAACGCGACGAGCAGATGAATGAATCGCCCAGTAGCCAGCACGAGGTTATCCACTTCAATTCCAGGGAATGAAGCTGATAACCTTGTACTTGCATTCAGAGCA